TTTCAGGTACCTTTCCAAAGGTGCTGCATGCTGGGATCGTCCCACTCCAGACCGATGCTAGCAGGAAGTCTCCTTCCTGACAAATCAACCATGGTGAGATTTGAAGCTGGGTCTCATGGTCAGAAAGCGAATGTTTTAACTACTCTGTCATGTGTACGTACGTATATACACATACACACACACACACACACACACACACACACACACACACACACACACTTCAAAACCTTCATCTGGGAATCCCTAGCATGTTGCAGTGGCACTTGATCTTAAAAAGAAATCTTTTGACTTTGTGTGCGCAAGTCCTAAGCCACTCTAGTGGATACTGTGTCACACTCCCACACACTTCTCTTCAAATAAAGATTTTTTTTTCTGTTTGTCAGATGAGGAATTTATTTGATGTCTTCCTTCTGGTTATTAAATTCAAACTTCAGCCTGTTCTGATTGTCATCCCAAAAGAAACATAACAATTCAACAATAACATTTTTAAATAATTATTCCGGAGTGTATGATTATCGACGTGCATTTTTATACTCTGAAAACAAATATTTATATTAAAAGTAAACAAAATAAAAGCAAATTTTATTAACAAATGACACCTACAAAAACGCTTGATAATTATGCACCAACCCAATATAATGCTACAGTGATGCTGCTTCGTGGGTGATTGCTATGACATAATTGAAAATTGACCCATTGATAATGATTCTGGTTTGTTCATTTACTTCAACAGCTAGATGGGCAGTTGCTGCTAGATTTTGAAAATGGGGTAAGTGAAGATTGTCAAAGAGGGCTCCTCTCTTTGGCACTTTCCAGCATTGACTAGAAAAATGGTTCCTCTTTTATGAAGTGTGAACATCCCTCATCCCAGCTCTCAACCCACACTCATCCCAGACTGAAATATTTTGCTTGAGATTAATCTGTGATAGTGTTGCTCCTCCAAGTGCTTTGGGCTTCCATGATCGTTCAAATGGTCATTCTTTCACTTACAGATCATTGAGTATCTCTGTATATTGCCACATCCTGTTCATGTTCACAGATCTAATATGTAATTCCTTTTGTGATGCTGCCTCCTTCTGCTTTACAAAGTGAATGTATATGGATTTCATTACCTTGGTATTGAACTCAAGGCCACCATGGGAAGTGTATACACTTTAATACTTAGTCTTTGGCCTGTTGAAGACTCAACTCATGTGATATCACCCTTGCATAGACTGTAGAATGAGAAGTTTATTCTTATAGATTGAATAAAAGGTTTGGTTCAAATTTTTAAAAATGACTGGTACTTTAAAATTAGACACAGCCAAAAACCTTTTCTATAACAGTCAAGATTAGAATACCAGTTTGAATAATTTTGTAATGTTTCATAAAGAAAATAAATTTAGGCTACCTTGTCTTTCTTGATTTCATGAAATTTACTCTGTTTAATTTTTCAGTTTGGCTTCTTTAAGCGCAAAAAGGCTACTGATTGTGATCCATTGACAAATGGTGAAAAAGATGTTGAGCAGGAAGAGGAAAAGGATCATTTGCAAGAATCAGATGGAAATACTGAACCACTTCCAATCAAAGATGAAGAGGAAATCGCATTGCACCTAGATACAAATGGAAAAGATGTCCAGGTTTAATTGACTGAAGATGAAAATTCTTTGATTTGTGCTGGTGAAATTTTAACTGAAGTTTTTTTTTTTTTTTTTTTTTTTCTGCAGCCCTTAATTTTTTTTTTTTTTATTAGATTTCAGAGCTTGCCTGTCTCTGACATTTTGTTTGGAGAAATTTAACTGGCTAAAGAAAAATATGCAATGCCTTTAATTTTGGAAAAAGTAAATTTCTTTATCCCCCCCCTATTTTTATTGCCGATTGAAAATCTAAATACTAGTTATTGACTATAGACATTACTTTTAATCACTTTTAGTAGGCATAAATACTTTGTCTATACATCAAAATATTCAGTGTTCTAAGTTTAATAATTCTGGTAGGAAGTTGGTTTTTTAATACTTTAATATTTTTATGGAAAGCATGAATGCCTTTTAAAGGAAGGCTTTAAGTGATTCCTCCATTATCACTATGCTTGTGGGAGTTTTCAATTTACTTCTAGATTCACATTCTATAAGCTTTTTATTTATTTTTAAAAAGTGGGGGTAGAATAACTTAAGTTTCACTAAAAATTTTGCTCATTTAAATCTTCCAAAATTACTTTGGGTGAATATTTTTACCTGTAAAACCTGAATACATTTAATTCTTAAAATGACAATCAAGAATGCACTTTCACAAGTGCTAAAATATTTTTTATTAGAATTTCTTAGCAATGCTAATATTTTAGACTAAAAAATTTTATTTGTTTTTTGTAAATTATATTTTTAAGATTGTGGGAAATATTGTAAGTGTGTATGCATGTTATAAAACACTTTTTGTTTTGGTTTGGTTTTAACATTTTCTTTCCAACTCTTTCTTTATTAAAGAAAGTCTTTGTCTTATAAACAACTGAACATAAAACTTGTGGATCAATTTCTGTCTGAATTTCTGGGATGATACATTGTGATTACATAATTTACATTCAGACTAATGTCATCTTTTGTTATTACAATGTTTTGGTCATTGTACTCTCTGGACCTTTTTGTCTTTTTTTTTATATATATATATATATATATATATATATATATATATATATATATATAATGACAATGATGGGTTGGTTTTCAAATGTCTAAGCCTATCAGCTCGTTCCCCTAATTCTGCATTAGGCTTTAACTCTCTTTTCTTACCATCTGACTGCTTCAAGGATTGTGGTAGGTAAGAGAGAAATTATGTGAAAATTAGCCTCATGAATTATGAATTGAGTTTTAATGACTTCTGAGTTTGACTGAATGTTGGTAACACCACACACACACCAAAATGAGTGAACCAGACAAAGCTGCACACTGTATTACTGGTTGCCTCAAAACACTATTCTGACAGACATTATTCCAGATTGTATGATTTGTCTGCTGCAGATTTTTTTTCTGGTTAAACTTTTTTTTTTTTTTGTTGTTGTTCTTGAACATTAGTGGGATGGGGAACTGCTGCTGAAAATTCTGAAAATTTTTTTTTTCATTTTCATATAAAATGTTTATGAATATTTGCATTTCAACTGGTGAAATGTCATTTGAAGGCCAACCATTATGTAAGACTAAAAACAAAGTTGAAATGACAAAACTTGAAAGTTCACCATGCAATCATTGAAGATTGTCATCATACCCATGAGATATCTGAAGTGAATACATTTGTCTTGGAGTAAAATGCCAGCATATGCTAACAGAAAATTTTAAAATTGAATCCTAGTTTCTTGCTAAATTAATTCCTTGTTTGCTTACTAGAATAAAAAAAAAATCCCCTCACCCACATTTATTTGAATGCATGCCATGATTAGAGGGAATGTGTTTGAAAGAATCACTGTTTGTTTAGTTATAATTACAGAAACAATGTTTCCCCAAATTCCTGTCATTTGGGTATCCACCGAAGATTAATTTCTTCATTTCTTAACTGTAGTAGTTTGATTTCCATAAATTAATGTCATAGTGGTTGAAAAAGTAGATCTGAATCTCTTCAAATATTTTTCCTCTCTCGCCTAAAGATCTAACTTAAAATATTGGGGTGGGGGGAAAAATTGGTAATCTTGACTTTGCTAAATCCTTTCTCCATTCAATTTTTTCTTCCTGTATATATAAAGAACTGTGGACAATGATTAACACTGAATGATGATGGTCTGTTTCATGCTTGAATGCAATTTTCAGACATGAAACAGATTGTTGCTATTCAGTGTTGATCTGTGTTCATACTGCTTATATTTACATATGCTCAATTTTGGGTATTGAGAATTTTTGTGTGTGGGGGCACTGAGTGACAGCCTTTTTTTTTTTTTTTTTTTTTTTTTTTGTATGAACATATTCAGGCCATGTGTGTTATTTTGACTCAACTATTTATATATGCTAGTGAATGGTGCATTATGGGTAGCAAGGTCTACTGTATTATCCTAACAGTTACTGGGTAGGTGGTAATGGTTTATTTTAATTATTATAGAGGCTATCAATATCATATCTATATCCATTATATATTTTAATTATTATACAGGCTATTGAGTAAAAGTAATTGTGGATTCAAATGTGGTTATTTGTAGCTATTGTATAGTATTAACTTTTTACATATTATTGATTACTTAATTATTTGTCATTTTGTTACATTTACTCATGTTTTGTGTGCATTCATAGTTTAATTTGTTTATTTACTTTAGAGTTATTTTAAGATTTTTTGTGAACATTGGTTATCTTATTTTAGTTTAAAATATTGGCTTTGTCTATAGTATGTTACTTTATCTATTGTATATAATGCATATATTAGTAAGGTATTCATATAATTTACTTATGCTCTATCCCTGATATTGAGCACTTTTATGCATAAATATAGCATATCTTGAAACACACACATACTAAACTTGGATTTACTTCTTTTAATAAGATATCCTATTTTTGTGCTTACAGTAAAATAAGTTGTTCTCAGGGGCTGTTTGGTACCTAATTAATGAATTCCAAACTTATCAAACTAAGTTAAACTTACTAATGAATCTATCAGTTAATTTTTTTTCTCCATTAGATTTGAGTGCATATACAAAATCTCATTTCTACTATATTTAGCATTTTCTACACCTCACAAAGCTTTGCTTGCCGAAGATTAAACTTAAACTGAACCCTTCTGAATAAGCAGATAACTGGATGATAGAAATCAATCTACACTTATTTATTAACATTGTGTAATTTTTTTTTGAGATTGTCTTTATCTTCTACATGTATCAACATATGTACATATACATTTTCAATGACTTTTTTATAAGTTTTTTTTTTTTTTTTTTTTCCCCCCCCATCATTCATTTTGAAAATTAGTATAAACACTTGGGAAATGTTGAATCTCAATGTTGATGTATTGACTTCATGATAATTGCTATCAATCATGGAAAGGAACATCCAGAAATCATTTTTGATTGTACCTTTTCTAATTTGAATGCCATGTTCACTTACATTGTGGCTTTAATTTATAAATGGTTCATTTGTCTTAATGTTAAACAATATTGCATTTAGGCATGATTTAGACATATTTTGCCTTCAATTTTACCCTTTCATATACTGAAGCATACAATTGCTCAACTTTTCCTCTCAGCTGTGAATCTCGTATTTAAAACAAACACAAAAACACACACACAAATGCAAATTCTGAAGTTTATTTTTAAATTTATTTTATTCATGCATTATATGCATCCTTTTTGTATTATTGGTGACACACACGTGTGTGTATGTATATATATATATATATATATATATATATATATATATATATATATATATATATATTTTTTTTTTTTTTTTTTTTTTTTCATTCCAAGCAAGGCAATAAAGCTAAGATGTAAGTATAACAGAATATGGAAAAAAAAAGAAAAACATGGAAAGAACAATAAAAGAACATGAATCCAAATTAGATTACTTTCTTTTGATAAATCTTCAGCTGTTTCCATCAATTTAGGGGAGATTCCTCATATTCTGATGAAAAAAAAAAAGCGTTTTTGCAATTCAGCCCCATGTGGGTTTATTTTTTTAAATATTGCTTTCATAAAATTTTTCACTTTGTATAAAAATAAAGCACTTAATTTTTTTTATCTTTCACAATTGTTTTGCTTGCATTCATGGTATTTATTTCCTACTAATTTGTTGAAATACTGATAAATGACTAGCAAGTACAGAAATTTAATACCTTGATAGTGTTATAACAGATGGAAAATTAGACTGAAATTTAAAGCTGCTTTGGAATAGCAAGAGGCCTTTTAAAAAGCTAAACAAAGTATTAACTGTCATTAAAAACAACTTTGGAATTTATAGAGCTCACTAGATTTAGTCATTGTAACTAAAAAGGTTTTGAAAATTGTCAGTACATTTGTTTTAACAGGTCACAGGAAAAAGAAAAAAAAATGAACTGAGACCTCAAAAAGCTGTAGAATGCAAAGATAGTTGACATCTAAGGGGTCAAAGAAAAGTCATGGAACTTGTAAGGAGCATCTCTATTCATTAAATTAAGAATTCCGATTCCTCAGAAAAACTTGAAAAGCTGAAATTTTCAGATACTGCTAGTGTTCATTACCTTCTAATCTTCCATTATGTATATTTCTATGCATTCTTAGATATTTTTCTTTTTCTTCTAGTTGTAAGCATGTATATTTAAAAACATGTTGGCTCTGCCTCATTTCCTTTTTGTCCCAGGTTCCCAATACTATACCTTAATTTTTGATACAAGCTATTTTGTTTTAACTTTGTTTCATATAAGGCAAGGATATCATAGGTAGTATTTGTTACCCATGACCCACCATTGTGTTGTTCAGTACTGGATTCCATTTTACCAACCAGGGTCCCACATGTGGGCCGTTAGAAAATTCTCAGTATACAAGTATTACATTGATGCTAAATCTCATTTTCTATATTCAATTTTTTTTTTTTTTTTCTTTGAAGAAAAAAAAAAAAGTGGTTCTGGTGTATCAGATCTTATAAGCAGTCAGTCATGGCATCCCACTCCCAATGATCCCCATAGAAAAGAAATTAAAAAAATGGCTCCTATACAAACCACTGGAGGGTCAAGGTGCTTAAAAAAAATATCTTCACTCTACCTGATGAGGGATTAGATGTAACTAACTTTAACTGTCTGATTTTTTGGCCAACTACATAAAATATGTATAACCATTTTAAATTAATATTGTTAAGTAGTATGCTTTTTCTGGAGTGTCTGTAAATTTTGAGGATTGAAAATAAGTCATGTTTTTGTAGGTGCTGTGTAACTAAAAAAAAAAAAAAAAAACATTCAAAACTGTTGGGCTCAATAAAAGACTTAAGGTGATATTCATGATAATATGCAGATTTATAAGTAATATTTTTTCCTATCTTAAGAGTGTAAAGAGCCTTAGTAAGTCATTGTAGTTGAACATTAGCATGCTTTTTTGACACTAAAATCCTGGTTAAAATTCTTACTGATGAAGGTTGACTTTGAAGAGAAAGATGACTCAATAAAGGATAGCTAGATGGCTGGGAATTTCCAGAAGCAATGTTTAAACAAGGCATGGACAATTTTTTTTTTTTTTTTTTTTTTTTTTTTCAAGCAGTCAATTTTTAAGTCTTGGTATATTATCACTGATTAACACATGTCACTGCATGTAACTTATTTCTAATTTATTCATTTCCAAATGAAAACTTTTCTTTTTAGAGAGAAAAAATTCTTATGAATGTTTCCTGTTTCAAAACCAAGATGTTTGCACATACGATCTTCCTGATTGTCAGCATTTTAAACCATTGGAGATTTTTCAATGTTAGTTTCCTCAAATTCAAGAAGCCTTTTACTTAATCATTGGTTATGTATAAGAGTGAGAAAAAAATAAAATTTTAGGAAACATTTTCCTAATGAAATTGTGTGTTATTCAGAAAGACCAAACTGACTGCATGTGTCCTATGATTAGTTTAAACCATCCAAAAGATAGTTGCTACTACAGGAATTGTTTTAAGTGCAAAGAAAACTGGAAGACCATAAAAGTTAGAGGTGAAAGATATAGGCAATCCAAAATTAACAGGCAGACAAGTGAACTTTTAGTTGATTAACTTAGTAGTATGCATATCAAAGTTGAGGATTCAACATGAAACTGTATGATTGGGAAGAGGAAATTTGTTTACAATATACAATCATATTGTTGGTAAATATCTATGCATGTAATATCACAGTCTATGGATAGACCTCCAAAAATCTAGATGACCAAAGCCTTACAGCTGATCTCTCATCTGACCGAGCTCTGACAGTCCAACGGGATGGTAACTGGCTTGAAAATTTCAATATCTCAAAATCCAAGCTAGGAAGTTTCCATCATCAATGAGCTGCCCCTTCTCACCAGTTACAATGAATGGTGGCACTCTCAATGGGACTCCTTGCTTTGTGTGTCTTGGGATTGAAGTTCACCCTCACTACAAAGTGGAATATATGATCCATTACTAAAGAATATAGAACAAATGTCAGCATATTATACTGCTCTAGAAAATACCTAACAGAGAATGGAGTATTGGCTGCCATATATTAGCTAGAACTACCCAATCCTTTTGTTCCAGCCTTGACAGAGTTCAAAAGCATTTATGCAGCCTTGTGGTTGATGAGTTGTTTTCTACCCTACAATACTTTTTCCACAGATGCAATGTTCAGAACTATTGCTACTCTATTGCTATTTCCATAGAAAATTTTCAGGCAAACTACATTCCTTAGCTCCACCAGCTTAAACCTTTACAGCTAAGACTCACCATACTGTGTACACAGGGAGAAATCATTCTTTCCTTTTGTATTCCATTGTTAATAAGGAAGTTTCATTTGGACAGCTTCTTCCCAAGAGCTACTACTTCTGATAGGATGCTTTTCCAACTACTACAATTTTAAGCTCTTCAAGTCCAAGGTCAAACATCAATTATCTCTTACATAACCTCATAATCTACGATTCTTATATTCATAAAACAGCTCTATTCATTAATCCAATAGTGGCTCTTGGACTTTGTATTGTGTAAACAATAGCATATGAAAATATGTTCTCCATCTTTTTAAATAAATGATTGTAAGTTTGAGGTGTAGCCTTGGCAATAACTCCTTTGAAAATTAAATCCATGTTGGTTAGCAAACCTACCTTTCTGTTTATAATATGATGGTTTTCTTAATGTAGCTTAGATGTGACAGAAGGTCGAAAGTATGTGGCACCCAGTGAGGATTGAATTCCCTATTCAGTCATAAATAATATAGCAAGACAAGCTTACTAACCGTTACAATACTTTGAAGTGACCTAATTTAATAAGCAAAGCTTAGATGTGGCACAAGTCTGAAAGTAAGGTACACTTAGGATCAAATTCACTATTCAGTCGTAATTGAGCTAGTGAGACAACCAAGATAGGTACTTCGACATGACGTAATGACTATTTTTGTTTGTAATATAGGCTCTGAAAGATCATTGTTTGTCAGTTTTATTTTGAAGAAATATATCATAATCACACATTTTAATCTTTTAGTTAAATGTAAAATCTAGTTAAATTATCTTCTGCCATAGGCTAAATTGAAAGAAACATGCACTTCCGCACATTTACTTAGGTAGTCACTACAAAGTACAAAGAAAATGAAATTAGTTTCCCTAATTATCTATTTGTTTGTCCACAAAACCTTTGTTTATTGTTACTTAGTGTCTGTGACATTGTTATCTGCTTGTGATCTTCACTTCAATTTCTGGCTTATGGCCATATCACATTGAAACATTGGTTCCTGTATGATCGCCAATGTTAAGCAATGTCGAGTCTGGTTAGTACCTAGATGGGTGACCTCTTAGGCATATCAGGTACTGTAAGCTTGGATGTGTAGATGGTGTAATGGATAATGGCTTAGAATTGTTAATGGGAAAGCAGAGTTCCAATTCCAGTTGTATTTACTATATTCACTTATGCGCAATTCTTGGGAAATGTATGGATCTACTCCTTCCCTCCCAGCTATGGCTTAATTAGTAAGACTGGTATCATTAAATCATTATCTGGAAAAAAAAAAAATTCTTACAATGTAAAAATATTTTATGGCTTTAAATAACCTGCAAAAAGTTGATAAGCTGGGGGAAAAGAAAGGAATTGACTGTAATTTCTATTCAAAACACATAAATTTTTCATAGGCAATTTATTAGCTTTAACTGTAAAATGGTAAAATATTCATTGCATTGTATATTCATTGAGGGCAATACAATAATTTTCTCCAAAAATAAATATTGATTATTTTGATCCCAGGAAAAAATAGGACATTAGCTATCTTAGTAGTCGGACTTTGTTGGCTATATAGATATTTTTTGTTTTTAATCAAACAAAAATTGATATTCTCTGGTGTATACAAACAACATACTCATATTTGTTGTTGTCTGACTTTTGATAAAATTATTATTAGTGTGTTTTGTTTTGTTTTTTTTTTTTTTTTTGTTTTGTTGTTTTTTTTTTAACAAATGATCCCAGTTCTTAATAAAAAGTTGAACTATGAGTTTTAGATATTAAAAAAAAGAGGATTCGTACCTTTCCCAAGGGTATTAGCATGTAACTGAATGTAATGGATTCGACTGGAATTTGAACTTAGCTCTTCAATTCTGCAATCCGAGCCACCATCCATTAGTATTGGATTATAGATGCTGTGCTCAAATCTCAAACTTCCCCTGCAAAAAGCATATAAATTAATTCCTTTGTTCTACTATTCACATTAGTATTGTAAACTGTAGCATTACCACTGGCCAATACTTAAACCATAGCACCCCAACCAAGAGATTTGCTACATTGTTCCCCATTGAAGGTAAAATTGTTTTGAATTCTATATCTTTCATTCATATTTCTTCTGGTAGTAAATAATTTCTCCATTGTTTAAAAGAACTTGCTACAGAGACTTCACTTATATTTGACTGTTAGAACTTTAGGAGCTCTTTGACGTGGTGTAATGGTTAGCAAGCTTGTCTAGCTAGAAGAATTACAAATTGAGTAGTGAGTTTTGTTTTAAAAAGCGATGATTTTGATAAAACCTACACATGAAAATGAATTTATACGTCTTCTTTGAGAATTTTCGGTAAAAATATTAAACGCTATTTATTATTTACAACATTCAATGCAATGTTTATCATTTACCAGTTTATAAAGGAATAAATATGGAAACAATTTTTTTTTTATTCATGAATTTATAAAAACTTACTAAATCGTAAAATATGAGAGCCAACTCTAATAAAATCTTTACCATTTTATAAGGTTCGAATTGATTGTTGGAAAAACATCGGCGAATTGCCAATTTGAAAGGACACACTCCATTGAAGATTTTGTAGGCTTTTATAAATTTTTGAATAGAGTTCTTTTCAAATTTATTTCTTTATAAAATGGTAAAAAATATATATCACATGGTTCATGTATTTTTAAAATCTTGTAAATAAACATTGCCGAAGTAGTAATAGTAGTAGCAAGAGAAAAAAAACACCCACTTGACAAACCGTGTTTTTTTTTTTTTTTTTTTTTTTCTTCTAAGATTGTCAGGAAATTTTACCTAATGTTTGATTTTAAGCTTTCCACTAATTTTCTCTTGTGCTATTCTCTTACATATTGCTATTGATTAAAACATTCTTTGTTTATGAATACAAAATTCAGTAATTTAATGAATGTTATTGTTGAATCTAATCTTTATTGTATCGTCTCCTTTACATAATTAAAAATTCCACTGCTATGGGCGTACTTATACGTCTTTATCAAACTTACATTGACAGCAGGCAATGTAAGTTTTTATTACACCAGAAAATGGTGGTCTCTAGACTAATCAGCTCTCATAATGAGAAAGGAGGGCTTGGAAAACTTAATCTTCGTGGGACATATTGAAGGCAAGAGAGATAGAGGAAGGCAGTCACTTAACTGTCGATCTTGTGTGAATGGTGTGCGGAACGGGGGTGGCGGAGGTTTTAGCAAATGGAGGAAAACTGTTAAGCGGAATAGAAAGTTGGAGAGCCATGATTGCCTATATCCTGAAGAGACATAACACTAAGCCCTTCTTTTATTTCAAAACCAGTGTAGATATATAGTAGCGTCCAATGCGAACTATTTGGGGTTATATTTTTATGTGTTGGGAGTAACGTTTATCTTTAGTTTATATTGTAGAGTACCAAATTGAAACTAAAATGGCGGCGTCTAGGGAGAAATCGCTGCCAGTGTCATTTTAGTATTTCCAGTAAACAGCAATTTCCTATCTTTTCCAAAACGGGCCCGCACAGTCACACAACAATGCTATAAGAGTGCATCATTGAAAGTTTGAATCTTCTAGTTGTACTCGTTTTTATTCATGAAGTGTTATGTTTAATAATTTTCTCAGTATTAGTTCTCTAGGTTAACGAAGAATTGAGTTCAAATATTGTCTTCTGTAATCTTAAGTTACCTTACTTAACCGTTAGCAACTGGCGCCATATTAGTCCTTCTGTTCATGTAATATTCACTCTCATAAACAACAAAAAATGAAGAATTATTCGTACAATCTATAAAATATGTCTCAACTTTAAATAACCCACAAGGCTTAAGTCATAAAAAAATCAATATCTTCAGAACGTTACGCCGCCATCTCCAGCTCTATGGATTGCACCTGAATACTCATTGACAATACTGTTTTGCAGACATGTTTCACGATTTCTGTTCATTAGGAATGTCACATTACTGTCCATAGACAGTATTTTAGAGTTTCTTTTCAGGAAACGTAGGAGTCAGATTTAAAACCACATTTTTTTTTTATTACATGATATTCGTCATTTAACAATAATTATAATCTTATGATATAGCAATAACTAATAACAACGCTTTAAAATGATTCAGTCATTCATACGTGATACACGTTTGGGCGACCATATCTCCTCCGATTCAAGACTGACTAGGCAGAATATTTTCCCGCAGTAGGTTGCCATTTTTTCTGTGGTAGACTCGTTGCAGACCAAGGGTATATGGCCCAGTCTGTTCTGCTATTCAACCCATAGCTGAGAGGGAGAAGAGATGGATTCATACCCTTTCCCAAGGGTATATGCGCGTAAGTGAATGTAACGAACCCGACTGAAATTCGAACTCTGATCTTTGATTTCTCATTCGAACCGATATCCATTACACCACAGCTAAATAATTACACAAGCTTTATTGGTTATCACTCCTTTTTTTTAAGGTAGCATGGGTGATAGGCGGAGGTGAATGTATGAGAAAGACGGAGAAGTTAACACCCACTGAGGGGATTGATATGAGATACCAATGTGAGAGAGGAAGAGTCTGGGAGGATAACTCTCCTCCGACCTTCCCTCACGGACGAGGGAGAAACCCCCGCACTGGAAAAAGATTAGTCTTTCCAAAATGGGAAGTAATTAATTTTCCTGGCCTAAGAACAGAGAATTCCTGTTAGGAATAAAGAATTGTCAAAGAACCCAAACCAGGACAGGCCCCCACATCGGAGTTGGTCGGTGTCCATATAAACAAACGTCTCGAGGCAGCTGATCAGTTTCGACAGAGTTCCAGACAGTTTGAGTTTGGAGTTAGTTCGAGAGTGTTGCCTCGCAGAAGCTGTCCTTATCGACTTAGGCTTCCTACCAAAAGCAAGTTTTTTTTTATTGACGAACGACTTAAGATACCATAATTCGCTTAAGAAACGCAAAAAGTGTCACAAATCCATAGAAACGGGCCGGGAGAGAAACACACTCCTGTATTCAACAGATAGATAAAGATAATTGTTATTTCTCGTGAGTTTGTTTTATTATTTCTTTTACTTACGCTTGTGCGGTATCACCTTATACCCGGATTCAGCTTGCACTACAGCCTGACGCCTGATTGATTTCGTCTACCTAAGATCAAAATCACAACGTGGATAGGTTAGACTTGAGATCACAGCAGTTACTTCAGTAACCAGACGTTGGAAGTGAGCTGGGAATGACAAGTTGGTATCGAACCGGGAACGACCAGATCGACCGGGACACAGGCTGGTGGCAGCAACAACGAGTCAACCCCAAACGCTGGTGGAAGAAACCTTACAGTTTCGTGCCGCAACTGGGAGTTGACCACGAGCCGACGGCGCAGTGTCATATATTGACGTCGCGACCATTGGACGTCACATGCTGGCGCTGCGACCGCGATCACCGGTGGGTGCCACAATAGGGATAAGTTAAATTGGTACTTGGACACATCCAAGAACCACTAGGTTGTGAACCTGAAATTGATTTAGGTTTAGTTTAGTAAAATGGAGAAAGAATCGACAAAACTTCAAGAATTAGGAGTTGAACATTTCAGCTGGTGATCATAAACTTTGATGAATTTTATGTCGCAGTGGACCAGTCAGTAAAAGCGTGCTATAGTACGCGATAAAACTTATAAGTTGCTTTGGGTCTCTGCGGTTGGAAGGACAAATATGAAAAAAAAAATAAAAATAAAAGAATGCATAGGATACCTTTTCCATAATGAGAGAAGATACATGAAAATATAAAAGTACACGTAACATTAAAATCTAAAATAAGCTCAGAACTGGCCAAGTTGAACAGAAACAAAGCCACATGACCAGATGAGATTGTAATAGATACATTCATCCTTAGGCGATTTTAGGATTGATAAGATTACAGAATTAGAAAAATAAAATATTTTATAATAAGGCGAAATGTCGGAAGATCTCAGTAGAGCTATCTTCATATTTATGCTAAAGAAGTTATGTGAAAATGAATACAAACTCCATTAGATAATCAGTTTATGAGCCACATAAAGTTATTAGTAGAATTCTAATGAACAGAGATCGCAGTAGAATTCAACCGTAAAGAGCAAAAACTGGCATTGAACAAGAACCAGGA